CAGGGGTCACGCCCCCCCCCCCCCCCATATTTCAGAATAGCAGTTCAGGAGGTGTGTTTAGGATATGGCCTTGTCCGCATGATTTCCTTCAACAGACTCAAAACCATTAGATCCCAAACTGTATCTTGCAGCTGAGTACTGAATTTGAGAGTCCTTCAGGCTTTACTACATGGCAAGCCCTGATGTAGACCAGGCCCTCAGGATGAAGAGCAGGTTCTTCCAACTCTAACTGCATAATTAAACAAATAAAGTCCTGCCATTTGAGAGCTGCCTAAGACTGGCTTGAGTGCTTGCTATACTGCTCCAAGTCTGATGTGTAAACCTGCACTGCCAGACCACATGCAGCCCTAAATAAGCTGGCTCACAACCTTCCACTGCAACTGCTCTGTTGGCAGAAACTAGAGCCATGGGATAATTCAAGTGGAAACGGACATCAGGGGGACTCCGGTTCAACCTTAAGCTCAAAGCAGAGTCAGCTATGAAATCACATCTGCTTTCTCAGGGCTTTATCCAGCTGGATTTTGAAAATGTCCATAGAAGAAGTCTCCACGAGCTCTCTGGGCTACCAAGTCCCACTATTTGACACACCTCAGGGTGAAAAATGCCATATAAACATAGACCTCTGTGACTTCAATCCACACCTGCTGTCCCTTGTCTTCCCACTATGCACCACTGTGAAGAACTTGGCTTCACTCTCGTGAAAACCTTCACACAAGTGCTGGAAGGGCTCCCCAGGCCTTTTCTTCTCCAGGCTCAACAACAGGCAGAGCTCCTCTAGTTTTCACAAAGCAAAAGCTCACAACTCAAGGCAATCTTGGCAGCTGTCCACTGAACTCACTCCAGTTTATCGACATTTCCTTTGTCCCAGGGAAGGGAGCACAACTGGATGCCACACTCTGGACGTGGCCTAAGGAGAGCCAAATGGAATGGGATAATTGCCTCACTTGACCTACTGGCTGTGCCCCTGTTAATGCAGGGCACAGGCATACCGTGACCCCCAGAGCCTTCTTAGCTGAGCTGCCCCCCAGAACAGGCTGTCCTGCTGCAGGGGACCACTCCTGACAGGGAGACAGACAGGAAGCCCCCACCTTTTAAGGAGCTGCTTAAACGGTAAATTTGCTTAGTAATCGGCAGCAGATGAAACGGATAGAAATTGAAGCCAAGTCTTCTTAGTGTTAATACACCTTACTTAGTAGTACTAAGTCGCCTCTTAGGGCCATATTCAGATGGCCTAAATTCCACATAAATCCTTCTGCCTCCTATTTCTTATTAGCTGGCTTTCAGGCAGCTCCTCACTCAGTGCCTTATGTAAATTCTCTGAATTGCTTTTCAGAACCACCTAGAATTCTCCATTGACTGAGAAAAGGGGCTTCAGTGGAATTTAGGCCACCTGAAGGTAGCTTTTAAGGTCCAGTAACACTGCAACATCAGACTGCATTATTTTTTGGATTTGCCAGCATGGCAGTAAGTAGCAGTTGGCTGTCAGGACAGGTTTAGTTACTCTTCCACCGGAACAAGTATTTTAAAAGAAAATATAACTGCTAAACAATCCAGGACTCAGTTCTTCCTGCTACTTTCTGGAAATTTACTCCATAGCTGGATCTCCTTTAACAAGAGTGCTCTATCCATAGTTCTTTTGAATTTTGTCCTGAGCCACGTGCAATGTTTGTTCCAGAAGTCTTCAGGCAATCCATTGAAAAAAATTGGGTCTTTAGCATGACTCAATGGCTCAAACCATTCACTGGTCTACAGAAAGGAAGAATAAAAGCCCTACAATCAACACTGAATAGGGGCTGGGGAAATCAATGCCTTAAATGCTCACCAGTTCAGCAAAAGCACACCATGCTTTAAGTCAAACATGAAGACAATTCCCCTAGTTCCTCAGAGATTAAGTTTTCCAACAAATACTGCTCTGATTTTCTGAGGTTTCTGGTTAAACCATGTCTTGTGATTTGGGAAGTTACTTCTTACAGGCATTATTGTTTTGGATGTGTCATAAATGAGAAGTTACACCATTATAGTCAGCCCAATAGACCCTACTCAGTGTTCTTACATACTCAGGATCCTCCAAGCAAGAAAGATGGAACAGGGAAGATGGGATCACCCATAACCACTTCTGAAAAGTGGAACCAGATTCTACATACCACAGTCCTCACACCTCTTTTTAGGCCATCAGTAGTGCTTTTGTCAAAGCCCCACAGCACCCAGGTACACAGGTATGGAGAGTCTACCCCTTGTCCTCAGCTGTAAGAAAGTGCTCTCAAAACATCCCAGTTCTGTGAAACAGAAAGAATAAAACTCAGGCTGAAATTTATTACCTTCATCCTTGAGTGGAATAGGACACTTGAAGATAGCACAAACGTTCAGAACTGAGTGCAATCTTATTGCAGGTCAGACTACTGTAACATTCAATCAGTAAGTTTGCACCCCTCTGAGGGATTCTGTATCCATGAGCAAGCACCCTGCTTTCATGACCAGCCAAGTGGAACCAGATCCATACCAGACTGACTTCATTATGAATTTCAAAATTTTTCACCACACAGATCTCCATCAGACTGACTCAAGTTTGTCAGCCAGCCATCAATGCTGAACATACAAACGCTAAACGTGAACCTACCTCCCATTTCTAGGGACCAACAACAACAAACATGCTGAACAACTACAAAGAAAAATAGGTCTGTAAGTCATAATGCTTAGCTTCAGCCATGCCTGAGGTCAAGGAGGAATTATCAAGCTTAAAAACTTCTTTCCTTAACTTTCCAAAGTGCACAAAACAAATAGTATGAGAAGTGCTGCAGATGGTAAGAATATATATATAAAGTCTTATGAATGCACCCAAATGACTACCTTCTTCTTAGGATACAGTTAAGACTTGATAACACCTCTATTATTTCAAGCTTCTGCTTTTTAGACCCAGGAAATAAAAGTCATAAACCATAGTGAATTTTTGCACAATGAGATGGCAATACACTCTGGGGAAAGACTGTATCAAAAGCAGAATGTAACCAGTCAAAAATCACATTAAAGCTTTTTGTTTCATTTTATGCTTTTTCTTTACACAATGCTTAAAACAGTAATAAGACAAAAAAAAAAAAACCTGAAAAATTTCACGTGAACTCAAATTTTTGTATTTTGAGTAAAAACGACTGCCCTTGCTCTTGACAGACTTTAAAATAACCAAAACATTTTGTCACTGGTATTATTCGTTTTCATTAATTCTGTATTAATAACAATACTCAAGAACTGAGGCTACTCAAATACAAGCATTTCACATCTGATGTTATCAAACCCATTTCACAAGCCAAAAAAAGTGCTTAACTATAGAGTCTGATACTCCTAGACAAAATGCAGTACTTATTGTAGAAGGTTACATACCAGCTGTTGTACATAATAATTAAATGTTGGGGGGGGGAAGCTTGTTTCTTCAGTAAGGTAAAGAAAAAGTAGTGGTCCTAAACTACCTTACAAGTCTTTTTATTCTGTTACTGTCCAAATTTTTCTGGAGATTACTGTTTTCTCATTTCCCAGGGATTGTGTATGAGTCCCAAACACTGAACTTCATGTACTACTATCTGTAGTAGTATTTTAAGGCTTGCTGCTCTTCCTACGAGTGAAAGGTGTTCCAGTGCTCTCCTTCCCGGGCGAGTCCCGGAAGGGAACGCACCTCAGCCTGAAATCCCGCACCAACCCCCCGGAAAACAGATCGGCAATCCTGAACGAGACCGAAATCCCGCCCGCTCCTCCTCCGGCCCTGCCGGGTTCGCATCACCCGCGCACAGCGGCCGCGAGCCGCACGCCGACAGCGGGGAGCGCCGCTCGGTCCCGGAGCCGTGTCACCAGCCGCGGCACCGGCCACCCGACCCACGCCCCGCTCCCGCCGCCCCCTCGGACGCCGGAGCCCAAACACAAAGCAGACCAGAAGGAAAAATGCGCCTGTTACCGACTATTATCTCGCTAATTATCCGGAGCGCCGGTGCGCAGCCGCCGGCCCCGCCGGCAGCCGGGCCCGTGGCAGCCCCGCCGGACCGCTTCAGCACCCCCGCGACCCGGATGGCCGCCGCACTCGCCCCCGCTGAGGCGGCGGGAGGCCCGGCGGGGCTCCGCAGCACCGCGCGGTCGGGGGGGCGCGCTCCTGGCGGCACAGAGCCCCGCAGCCCGCCCCGGCCCGCGGCCCCGCACTCACCGGCCCCGGCCTGCGGACGCCGCGGCGGCACCGCCCGCTCCGCGCACCGCCCGAGTGCGCGCCCGCGCTCACCCGCGGCCGGGCCGCCCGCCGCCGCCGCGCGCGCTCATTCCGTATGCGCCACGGCGCCTCCTGGTTGGACCGCGCCGGGTGGCGCGCGGGGCCGGGCTCCCGCGGAACGGGGTTACTACAGGTCACCGGCACCGGGGGGGTGGGGCCAGAGCCCCGGGCCAATCGCCGGCGAGGGGCGGGGCCGCGTCAGCAGCGCGCCCCTCCGCGCCCCGGCCCCGCCGCGCCTGCGCGCCCGCCGAGCGGCCCCGGCGCCTCCGCGCTTGGCGCTGGCCCGGCCCGTGCCGGTCCCTCCGTCACGGAGCCCCCTAAAGGCCCCGGGCCCAACACGGATGGCACTGGCCCACGAGGGTTCCCGCGGCCCCGGTACAGCGCGGGCGGGCTGTGCGCGTTAAAGAATGCTTTCTGCCAAGTGTCCCGGTCGGAGCGAGTGTCCGCGGCAGCGGCATGAACGCGGCCCAGAGCCGCCCGGCGCGGGTCGCTGTAGGAGGCAGGGTCGCTGCAGGGCCTGTGGCCGCCCTTCGGGCTTGGCCGGGTTTGAGGATTTACAGGCGCGTGGCAGCTGCTGCAGGGGTTCCTGGTCTGCATCTCTGCTGGCAGGGCTCACAGAGATCGCTCATTTCACATCCACCTGACCAGAGCTGCCGTCACCTCAAAGGTTTTGGTCAGTGCTGCTCAAGGCTGAGTTCCTCTTTAACAATTCCTGAGGATCTTTTGTTAATACTGACTCATCCAGGTCCTGCACATGTTCCTTCAGAATTAAAGGTTTTCATTTAACGTGTGTAATACAATACTGAAACAAAACAACCGAGCGCCTGCCAAAGAGAAGCGAAATAAAAACAACGAATGGGAAGAAGGTTTCAAAGCGCAGAGGAAAGCTTTAGTTTCTGCGGGTGGTGACAGCCACCATTGTCACAAGGGTAGGTTTGTTTGGCTCAGTTGGTGCAGGTCAAGCTCCTGGCACAGCACATGGCAAGGGCAGAGCAGGATTGCAGAGCTGAGGGCATGAGCCTGCACACTGATGTACCTGCAGACCATCAGCAGTGAGTTACTTTGAGCCATTTATAAACCCTGCAGCTGCCACCGCCTGGGGCTGTGTCCTACCTGCAGCTGTTCCTCCTTCCCCTCACATACACCACGTTTCAGAGGCAGAAGACTGTTTGCATCTGCAGTCATCTGCAGAGTTACTTGAGTGGCAGAGAATGTGCTCACTCTTGCTAAAAGCAGATTAACAGGATGTATACTTCTAATCCGAAGACCAACTAAGTCAGTCACCTCAGTTACTGGACAAAACACTTCCAAGTGTTTAGAACTGGAACACAGGAGATGGCTGCTGACTGTTCTGAAAAGCAGGAAAATAGTATCCACAGGAGTTATCTGAACTGTAAAGGTCATGAGCTGCTTGAGCAAAAGGGATGCTACCTGAATTATGGGTAGGAGTACAGAGACATACTTAAAACAGTTGCACATTCACTGGAAAAAAAGTGAAAAAGGATAAGCAGACATGGAAAGAGAAGAAACTCAGTTTTCAAAGACTGAAAATGCAGACGTTTGTGCAACAGAAGGGAATTCAGGTGTTGTCTGCCAAAAGATTTATTAATGTTGGTAGAGACATAGTAAAGTCAGTACATACGTTGTGGTCATTAGCACAGGGAAAAGTCCTAGATTTGTGTTACACCATCTTTCACATTTCTTTCAAGGCAAGGAAGACTCAGGATAAAACTACAAAAGTGATGTGATGCAAAGGAAGGTGGGAGATAAAGCACTGGACAGCACAGAGCTCATCTGCTCAGCATCAGATCTCATGCTGAACCCTCTGCTCTTATTTATATCTGGGTTATCATCACCAACTGACCCATAAAACACCTTGGCAAAAGCCTCACTTTAAGAAATGTTTGGAATCCATAACTTGAAATTAGATGTTATCCTTATTAAACTGCTAGATCTGAATACTATCAAGTTCTATGAGAAGGAGATTTCAAAGAAACTTTAACATCCAATACAGATTTGTTTGTAAATTTTGTACTTCAGCTTCACCTTTATTACAGTAGGGTGCATCAATTTAAGTTTGTCTGAACTTTTCAGTCATTGGAAATCCAAACATTAACTGTGTAACTGGCTATATTTATTCAAAATAGACACAGCTATTTGCTGTATCCATAACAGGGTATGGATAGGAGTAAAGGAGGAGTTGATGGCACCTAATTCAGCTGAGCATCAGAAGAAAAACATCGACTGCAACCTACAGTGATATAGTAACTTCAACTTTACAGACACCTAAGGCTTAAGAAATTATATATGTATATACACAAACATCCACATGCTGATTTAAAGGCTCATACATGTATGTAGTATTTTCACAAGGTTCTTCAAAGATTCCCAATGTTTATATACAGCAGAAGTAAAGCTCTTCATGATATCAGAGATATTACCACACCTTTTGCTTCAATGTAGATTTTACAGAGCAGGGCTTTGGAAGATACTGGTGTTGTGTTACTTCAGCACTTTCCTTGCACAAGTCTATGCTGAGTATCCCCTGGGGAAACCAAAGAACGTGGGGCTAGATAGCACACATAAGAGTCACCAATAAAATGAGGGATAATGGGTGTAATTGGAAATTTACCCTGCACAAGGCACTACACTAGTGACTAGTGGGGGACAGTGGCCTTTCCTACACAAGTTATGCATAACGATAGGAAATTGAAATAGTAGCTTATTTATATTTTCATTAATAAAACACAACAGTGCAATTAAAAGCAGGAAAGAAGTAGTTGTATTGCCCTAGAGCATTCAGACAGGGAAGGAGTATATGGGAAAACATGCATGGCTGTTCCTAACCACATTAATGTATTCACAAATTCTTATTTGGCTGGGTTCTTTTTGATTTCCAGAAGGAGCAGCTCATTAACTATTCTCGCTTTCCCTTTTAAAAAGTTTCAGGCATGAAGTCGAGGAGCAAAAAACCCTGCCATGTGTTTTGTTCAACAACAGAGAATGAATAGCAAGTGGTAAATAGCAGGGAAGATTGCAAGTGATCTTACAAAAATACTGATTTGGAAGTCATCTGACTCATCAGGAAAGAGAACAGCAAGCCAACGTTATATTTGGCTAATTCTAGCTAATATCCAGGGAGAATTAATAAAAACAAAACCACGAGTCACACTGAAAGAGGAGAGTCTATGAATGGGTAAATATGTGTGGAAGGTTGGCGTTAATCTTTCATGAACAGGCTGCTGCCCACTGATTCTTGGGAAGAAGCTGGGGGGGGAACCCAACAGTGTCACAGATATGACAGATGTGGGAGCTTTTAACTAAAAATACTTGGAGGGACACAAAATTAAGGAGTACAGGACAGTATATATGTTTAAACTAAAATCAAACTGACTTCTTATGTGAAATAAAAGAAATCATTAAAGAAGGGCTTGAGTGGGACAAAGCTCATGGTCTCAACAGAATGTATTTCAGTGTATGCCTTCAAACCTGTGAAAAATGAATGACTCTAAAATTACAAGACTGTCTTCATGACTCATTAAATAATTGAATGCTACAAGTTAATACAGTGTTAGTTTAAATTAAATTTATTGTAACTAAAAATAACATTTTTCAACAGTTTGCTTGGAACTTACTTTGCTTTAGTTACAAACAATAACCTGTTCAACAAAGGGATTCATACCCATGGTCATTGTTAATTAAACATTCAAACTGAGATAGTAATAATTTATATCTAAAGATATCCTGTTAGTGTGGCATTTTGAATGCCCTTTTAATCATAGAGAGGGCTGAGCTACTACTGACGGGGCAGGAGGAGCCAGCTGGGATGCAGGTTCTGGCAGCAGAAACAGCTTGTGATCCTGAAGTGATCATTCTCACAGCTGTTAATTTTGGGGTGTTGCTTTAAAAGATGGAGAAACATTTCTGGACCAAGCAACATGAGGTTTCATTGCTAAATAGTCCTCGTGTACATATCAGTACATTTGACTAATTTTTATCTGTGAAGGTTTTTGTTTCCAAATAAAGAAACAAATGAGCAAGTTGCTAAGATTAAATTGGAAAGCAGCAAATTCTGGCAACATGCCCCAATGATTAATTATTTAGTAGAACACTTGGTCATATGGGCATGCCTAGAGCCACTTTTCACAGAGAGATTGATGACATTAATAATAAGATGATCAAGGGTATAGTGGAAAATTTATCACCACTTGACACAGTCTCAGCTTAAAATACTTCTTTAAATTCCTAGCTTGTATGTTCTCATCCTACATCTCTGTTGCTAACCCACTGTGATAAATCAGAGTGTCATTCAGGTCATAGCAGGATAACCCTGCAAACCTGAAATTTCTAATTAGGGGAAAGCATATAAACGGGTTAAATCTGTTAAACAAGCTGCAAGGCACACTCGGCAATACTGCCGCACCCTGGAACTGCCATGCCATGAGAAACTGCGTCACCCACGGAAAATCAGGGAAAGGATTAAAAATAGAATTTATTTCTGCTCCTGAACTTTCTTGCTCAAAAGCTGCCTGTCGTTTTCTAGGCCAGTGAAAAGTTACAGTGGAGCTGAGGTGTCAAAGGCAGCCAAGAGGAATCAAATCATCAAATGGTGTCTCAAACCTGCAGAAAAACATTCATCCCTATGGGCCCCAAAGAATGGTATCCTGAGAATCTCACAATACAATTTAATCATCAAATAGGCCATTAAAACATCCAAGCCTAGGCCTAAGTCCATATCTGAGCCTTCCACACTGTACTCCAGCAGCTGCCCAGAGTGGGATCCCCCATGACTTGCTGTGTGCCCAGGTGTTGCTCCGTGGACATGGATGCACTGGACATGCTGCAGCCCAGTCCACCACCACCCCTCCCACCTTGGTGCAGAACAGGTTCAAGAGTGTTTCTTCATTCAAACAGCACTGGAACAGAGCCCTGTTGCTTTTTAGACCACCCTAGTAAGACTCATTAGGTTTGTCTGGATTACCCTGTGTGCACCTGGTATTTGAGAAGGATAGAGAAAAGCCCCTTCTCTGCACAGATCTGCTTTCTTTTATTTATTCTGAATAACATAGTAAACAAGTACTGTTACATATAGAGATGGCACATTATAAACTCTGTAACAAGACAGTGAGTGGCCAAAGCAATCCAAGAGTGCTTTCCTGGTCTACCACGTGAAGACTGCAAAGGCTTCCAATAGTTTGGCTTTATTCAATGGGCTTTGTTTAGTCAACTACTCTACAATGTTTTCAGAAAACAAAACCACTTTGCTGTCTAAGGCTTCAACCAGAAAACAAATGTGGCCAAGGGTTTTCAAAAAAGAAGCTTAAATTTGGGCTCTTGTGCAGGTGGGATGTTTAGGGCTATTTGAGAAAATTGAGGTAAACTACCACATCTTTGGCAGCTTGAG